GAGCCTGTTTGGATTGCATCTTTGCATGTGTTGCATTAGCCATTTCAAATATGAACTAGGATCATGCATGTGATTACTAACTGGTTTCTGTTTTGGCTTGGAGTACTAGGTGAGCTTTTATGCTTTAGCATGCCGCATGCGTGTGAGTGTTGCCATAATTACATGATTACCATGAGGCTAGCTGCTTATGTGATATAACTGCTTGAATACCTGTGGATGAAGGTCGAATCGCTTAAATTGGGATAATTCATTAAAACTGCGAATTTTAAGCCCATTCGATAGTGGCAAAACCATTTTTTATAAAAGTCCACTTGAGGGTGGCAAAACCTGCATTTTAGCCCACTTGCGAGTAGCAAACCATTTTCAAAACAAACATGCTATGTTTTGTTCCAATTTAGGCGATTTGGTCTATACTTGTTTGCTGTGCGCATAACATAGTAATTCTAGGCTAATAACCGGAATAAGAACACATAACGTTTTCAAAAACGGGTATCATGGTTAGTAAAGGCCGATCTTCGGATCGGGCGAGAGGGGGTGCTCATAGCTGACCTTCTCCAATCGTACCCTAGCTCCCGAGCTGAGGCAACTTTGGTGATGACGCACGCGTGGCCTTTGGCACCGAGTCAGGGTTTCCTAAATTCCCCCAAAAATAAAATATTTAGGTGGCGACTCTGTATCTGGCAAAGCAGTCCATGTTTGGCACTTCTTTTCAAAAATCTGTTTCTCAAAACGATTTGCCAGATTTGGACTCTTTGGTTCAGATTAAGAACCGTGACACAAATTGAGTCCGAACTGTAGTGAGGCCCACGGGCGCGTCTACAGCTGTGAATACTAATAACGATATGGTGGTTATGAGTAACCAGTTCCATAAAAGAACCTCCGGATCCAGGTAACAGATGACAGATATATTGAGCTCTATGATGGAGCCTCTGGTACGAGTAACAAAGTAAAGACATAATAAGTTCCATAACGGAACCTTCGATATCGGATAACAACTAACAGATATCACATGATGCTAAGAATGCCATGAATACATTGTCAGAAATTGGACAATCATTCATTGTACATAACATAGCATTTCAGAAAACAGATCTTATTTTATCATACAGAAAGTAAATAAAGTTGAACATAGCTTTACTAAGTTATTACTCACAAAAGGCTCCAAAAGTAGACGGATGGTACAGGCAAATCAAATAGCTTATGGCGCGTGACCTACAACAACACATAACATGTACACATTGTAACATATGCTCGAAATTCTTTACAATTATTTTGTTTTGTTCTTAGTGTGTTTGTAAGTCTTATCCTCATTATTATGTCTTAATCATGGCCTAGGAATGCTTAGGATGCGATGAGTATGACAAAATGCGCTTTGAAACACTTAGTCAATTATACTGGAAAACAGGGGCCTCGTTTGAGCGCAAATTCCTTCGCTCTAGCGGAGGGTCAAAATATGAGGGGCCGCTCGAGTGCAACTTTTTTCGCTTGAGTAGTCTATAAACTCTGAAAAAGTACTGATTGTGTGAATTCTCCGCTCGACGTTCACTCGACCGTCGCTCGAGCATGAGACTAGGGTCCTCGCTCGAGTGCAACTCTTGTCGCTTGGGCGGTCTTCAAAACATATGAACTTCTGGGGGCTTACATTTCACGCTCGAGCCAATATTTAGTCTCTTGAGTGGAATTACGCTCGAGCGCAGGATCTGTCGCTCGAGCAGAGAGGCAGAATTTGGAATTTCCAAATTGCACTCCCAAGCTTCAAACTCACCCCAAAGCTGTAAATTATGGTCTTGAGGGCCAGAAACTTGAGAAAACACATCTAAACTTGGAAAACATAGAAATTCAAGATCATTTCATGAAATCAGGGCTCAAAATTATGTCAATTGTTCAAAATCCACCTAGAGACTTTAAGAACATAACATGAATACTGTATGCATGAAATGGTTTGAGCTTCAAGTGTCCAAAACATAATCAAATGAGGTGTTTAGCTCAAAAACATGTTGAATTCTTAAACCATAGCTAAAATATGAACATGCATAGGACAAATTCTTAGACAACATGCTCTATTTGTCATGTGATGCATACGCATGCATGCATGCATCTTCTTCTTTCTACATCAATCAACATAATTCTTGCTTCAATTCACTTAGTTTCTTTGAATACATGTGGTAAGTACTCCAATTACACAACTAAAGGCTTAATTTCTTACCTTAGGGGCCCAATTTTAGCTTAGATGTGTTAATGTTTAAGCTCACAAATCAATTCTTTCAATTCCCTTTCAAGTCTCTCTAATTCTCAAGCTTAGAGTCAAATCTTCCTACTCCCTCTCTTACTCTCACGTTTTTGCCACCAAGGATGAAGATATGAGAGTGTAAAATGTAAATGAGGGTCCACTAATGCCTTATATAGGCTAAATTAATGGTTTAATTAAATGGTTGATCAAATTACTCAATTAGACATAAGTTATTCTAATTAAATCGTTCCGAATCGACTTTCAATTGAACCTACTATAAAATTCTAAAAATTCTAACTAACACATAATTCAAGTTAATCTCGCGATCGGATGCCGATAAAGCCTTCAATTCACAGAACAGAACAGAACTACAAACAGATATTTCTACGATGGACTGATAGAAACACAAATAATGCCATACACACATCCAAATAAATTCAGAATTTCATCTTAATTATTCTTAAGCATATTTAATCATGGATTAAAGACTAATCACAGGTCGGGGTTGTTACAGTCTTTCCCCCTTAAAGAGTTTGGTCCTCCAAACTCGAGTTACCTTCATTTTGGAAGAATACTGGATCCAAAGAAAACAATTCAGGGTATCTCCTTATCATATCTTCCTCTGTTTCCCAAGTTACATATGTCCCTTCGTGGTTTCGTCAATCAACCTTTACCAATGGTATAACTTTGTTTCTGAATCTTTTGATTCGGCGGGTCGCAATCTGAATTGGCCTCTCCTCATAGGTATAGTCATCTTTCAAAAGCATATGTGTTGGTTCAATGACATGTAATGGATCTCGTAGATAGTCCTGAAGCATAGATATGTGGAAAACATTATGCATATGTTCCATGACCGGTGGTAAGGCTACCCGATACGTCATTGGGTTGATCTTTTCAAGGATTTCATATAGTCCTACATATCTTGGTGCCAATTTGTCTTTCGCTCCAAACTGCGTTTGACCTTTCATTGGAGTTACTTTGATAAACACGTGATCCCCGACTTCATATTCTTTATCTCTTCTTCGGACATCTGCATAACTCTTTTGGTGACTTTGTATAGTTTTCAATTTTTGTTGAATCAATTTCACATTTTTCGTTGTTTCTTGCACAAGTTTCGGTCCAAACAAAGGTCTGTCTCCTACCTCGGTCCAACAGATCGAAGAATGGCATTTCCTACCATACAAAGCTTTATAAGGAGCCATTCCAATACTTGAGTGATAGCTATTATTATATACAAATTCAGCCAATGGTAGGTATGTAATAACCCGACCCTCGTATATGTTTTCTGGTATACTTTTAGTCCCTTACTCTATGCATTTATATGCTTGCTGTGAAATTCCATGTGAAATTGAGTTTAATTGAGTGAATCTTATGATTATAGGTTCATATCTGTCTAATAAGAGAAATATCTGTTACAATTATGATGTTTGGAATAGAAATTGGAAGCCTTAGAAGCTTAGTAATCCGAAATTGACTTTATAATTGAGATCAGCATGATTTTTAGATCATAATGTGATTTTTTGTAAAAATTTGATTTGGGATGATTAAACTGATTGAATTTTGTCTCTATTCAGCCTTTATATATATATATATGTGTGTGTGTGTGTGTGTCTCCTTGAACATTTGACTTAGAAGCCTTCACACCAAAAATATCTCCTGAGAGAGAGAGCTAGAGAAAAACAAAACTAGAGAGGAAGAAGAAAGTTCAACAATGAGAAGATAGGGAAATTTGAGAGAGTTTGTAGGAATTTAAGCTTAAGGTATGTATTATCTACTTTTGTTAAGCCTCTCTTGACTAATGAGCAAGGAATTCTCTACAATATAGAAGTTAGGGTTGTGATTAAGATCAAGAGAGTGTGTGTGTGTGTTCTTTGTTTAATTGTATTTGAAGTTGTGTTGTTGGTTTCAAGCTTTGTGATAGGAAATTTCACCTTTCCCCTCTTGATTTTACATGTTATGGGGAGTTCATCTATATACTTAGAGGGTTATATATATATATATATATATATGCGTGTGTGTGTGTGTGTGTGGTTGGAACCAAACATATTTCAAACCAGGAAGAAATTGGGTTGAGCATGTGGAATTGAAGGAAGATGACTCATAATTTTGCACACATGGCTTCACATCCTCTAATCCATGTTCAGAAGTTTATCTTCTTGATGATTTTGAAGATGGAGGATAAAACTCCATGAATTTGTTATCATGTGTATTGATGTTGACTTCACCCTTAAATTCAAGATTTAGATCCTTCACATGAAACATTAAGTTTTGTTTTGAAGTTATGATGTTTATTTTAAGTTATTTTCTAAAGTTTTGGGCCTTGATTTTCATGGATCTAAGGTTGATTTTGCAAAAAAGGAGATTCCCTTTCAAAGTAGAATTTCAAACTAGTTTTCACCCAGACCGCTCGAGCGGCTCGGGCCACCGCATGAGCGGCCAATCTTGTTTTGGGCCAAAATACATTCTGCAGTTCCACCGCTCGTGCGGCCAAGGCCACCGCACGAGCGGCCAGGGCACCGCACGTGCCACTAAACAGGACAGATTTTCTGATTTTTGTTTCTTTCCATTTTTTGACTTTTGGACCTTCATTTACATAGTTTTCACATGTCCTATGTCTCCATATACATCTCATGAGCATAAAATAAAATAAAATAAGAAAAGAATAGAAATAATGGAATGATCGAATGGCGGATAATTGAATAAGGTTAAGAACCAATTACGTGACTCAAATGTATATTGAAGAATTGTGCTGTGATGTTTGTATTTGTAGGTCAAGACTTGAAGACCGCACAACCAGTTTTGGAAGCCCACTGTGAGTAATAGTACAGTAGTAGTACGTTTTACTTATCGTTAATAATTGTTATTAACGTTTTGTTATTCACAAGTTACCTATGATAACTTATATGAGCAATTGAAAAAGCTGTGTACATCTGTATAACTCTAATATTAGTCTGCTCTATTGATATCGGGGCCTGAGGCCGATCTGTACAATCTATTGGGCTTGAGGCCGATCTGTACAATCTGTTGGACTTGAGGTCAATCTATAAAATCTGTTAGGCCTAAGGTCGTTCTGTATGATACTGGGCTTGAAACCGCTCTGTATAGAGATTGGGCCCAAGGTCGTTCTGAAAATGTTTATAGAATAAACTTAATCATATGACCTCTGTACTGATATACATAATAACTCAAGTTTATTCATTAAATTGTTTGTGTACTATTATTCACTGAGCCATGCTCACCTTGTGTTATGTCTATCTTTGTAGGCAATCAACCTGGAGATCAGTCTTAGTTCCGCTTTGGTCACTCCTTTTTGGTCAAGCAACGTGAAGAAGCTTAAGCACTTTGTGGGGTTCCCTTAATGACCCCTAGCTTGGTCCTCAATCTTTTGTCTAATGTGATTAAGCATGTATAACTTTCCCTACTCCCTACCAATATTTTTGCTACACCCTCACGTGCGGGGCTGGATCTGTATATATATTTATATATGTATGTGAATATCTGTTTCTTGTGTATCCATTTATCATATGTTGGAACTGTTTAGTGGTATATTTGTGATCCTGGCATATAGGAGTGAGCTCAATGGCTGTTATTTCATGTTGTTAATTGCTTCCGTTCAGGCCCCCTATGATATACATTTCGAATTTTATGTCCGTTTCCGAATTGGTCATGCTCAACTTTTAGGGGCGAGTTTGGGGCGTGACAAGGTAGGTCCCCCAATTGCCTTAAAAATCTAGAACACACATTCTGAGCATATCTTCCAAAGTCTGTATCATTCTCTCTGATTAGCTATCTGTCTGTGGGTGATAAGCACTGCTTAGTCTTAGTTCAGTTCCCAAAGCTTGCTGTAGACTTTGCCAGAATATTGAAGTGAACTTAGGATCTCTTTCAAGCACAATAGTTACTGGCATGTCGTGCAATCTCACAATCTCATTCACGTAGATGTTAGCCAATTTATCCGCATTACAAAGAGTTTTAATGGGCAGAAAGTGAACAGACTTAATTAAACAATCAACAATGATCCATATAGAATCCATACCTTGAGAGGGGCTAGGCAGTCCAACAATGAAGTCCATCGTGATATGCTCCCATTTCCATTCCGGTATTGGAAGTGGCTGTAGCAATCCAGCGGATCGTTGATGTTCAACTTTAACTTGTTGGCAGTGCAAACATCTAGCCATAAAGTCAGCAATACTTTTCTTCATTCTAGGCCACCAGAAGTTTTGTTTCAAGTCATGATACATTTTTGTATTTCTCGAATGCATAGCAAATTTCAAATTTTGGGCTTCAGCCATAACATGTTTTCTCAACTCACAACAATCTAGTACACAAAGTCTATTATGAAATTTTAGTACTTCATTATCAATCACAAATCTCGGCCTCGGCTTTGATTCAATTTCATCAAAAATTTTCTTCAAAAACTCATCTTCACGTTGTTTCTCTTTAATTTCTTTAATGATTGCAAGTTAGGCAGAAATCGCAGCCAAGATCCCGCCTTGTTCATATAATACAATTTCAATCTCATTCTTTTCCAAGTCACACAATAACTCTCTCCGACCGGTGAGCAAACATGACAAATTCCCAACAGCTTTTTGGCTCAATGCATCTACAATAGTATTTGCCTTCCCTAGATGATATAAAATTTGCAAATCATAGTCCTTGATTAATTCCAGCCATCTTCTCTGCCTCATGTTTAGCTCCTTTTGGGTGAAGAAATATTTTAAGCTTTTATGATCTGTATATACTTCACAAGTTCCGCCATACAGATAATGGCGCCAGATTTTCAAAGCAAACACCATGGCTGCCAATTCAAGATCACAAGTCGGGTAGTTCTTTTCATGAGGACGGAGTTGTCGAGAGGCATAAGCAATTACTTTCCCATTCTGCATTAACACACAACCCAAACCTTTGTAGGAAACATCACTGTAAATCTAAAACCCATAAGTTTCGTTTGGTAAGGTTAGATTTGGTGCAGTTACCAGTCTAGTTTTCAATTCTTGAAAGGCTGACTCCCGTTGATCATTCCAGTCAAATGGTACATTTTTTTGTGTCAACTGTGTCAATGGCATAGCAAGTTTTGAGAAATCTTTCACAAATCTTTTGTAGTAACTAGCAAGTCCCAGAAAGCTTCTGATTTCTAACACATTTGTCGGTTTTGGCCAGTTTACAATAGCCTCGATTTTCTGTGGATCCACTGATACGCCATCCTCGTTGATTACATGTCCCAGAAATGCTACACTATCAATCCAAAATTCACATTTGGAAAATTTGGCATATAACTTCTTTTCTCTCAAAAGCTGTAAAGCAGTTCTCAAATGATTCTCATGTTCTTTCCTGCTTTTGGAGTAAATCATAAATTAGAATATCATCAATAAACACAACTATAAACTCATCTAGAAATTGTTTAAAAACCCTATTGATCAGGTCCATAAAGGCTGCGGGTGCATTTGTTACCCCAAATGGCATGACTAAAAATTCATAGTGCCCATATCTAGTTCTGAATGTTGTTTTCTTTACATCTTCTGCCTTAACCTTTAACTGGTGATACCCGGATCTAAGATCTATCTTAGAGAACACTTGTGCTCCCTGCAGTTGGTCAAACAGGTTGTCTATTCGGGGTAAAGGGTATTTGTTCTTCACGGTTACTTTGTTCAATTCGCGGTCATCAATACACAGCCTCAAAGACTCGTCTTTCTTTTTAACAAACAATACCGGAGCACCCCAAGATGAAGTACACGGATGGATAAACTTTTTGTCTAGCAAGTCTTGTAATTGGGTTTTCAATTCTTTGAGTTCGGAGGTTAACTTGCGGTACGGGGTTTTTGAAATTGGTTGCATCCCGTGTGCCATATCAATGGTAAATTCAATCTCCCTGTTAATCAAATCCCTGGGTAGTTCATTAGGAAACACATCAGGAAATTTGTTAACTACAGGGATGTTCTCAACATTAGCATTATCAATGGTTGTATTTAGGACACAACAAAAATAACTTTGACATCCTTTTCGCAATAGTTTACTAGCTTTTATAAAAGAAATTAAGTACGGTGGAGGGATTACCCCATCCAGCAAATACAAATTCAGGTAACCCCGAAGGTCGGAATACAACAAGTTTATTCACACAATCAATGGTAGCGAAATACTTAGTCAACCAATCCATGCCCAATATGCAATCAAAAGGATCAATTCCCAAAGACAACAAATCAACACACAACGTCATGTCACCAATCACAATATCACATGCTGGATAAACATAAGCACATACCTTGGAACCCCCAGATGGTGTAGATATAGATAACAAATAATTTATAGGTTCTACTGGTCTAGTTAATTTCTGAGAAAATGCATGTGACACAAATGAGTGGGTAGAACCAGAATTTATTAGCACATATGCATTTTGGGCACAGATGGAAATTATACCTGACACCACAGCTTTAGTGTTCTGTATATCACCAGGCACTAAGGAAAATACTTGACCCTATCTTAGAGTTTCTTTCCCAGTATTAGCTCTTGCATTTGTTTTAGTTATAGAAGTGAATCCGTCTGAACTCGCTATAGAGTGGTTGGCATTATTAGACCCAAGCGGGCAATCTTTCACTTCATGACCTGTCTTGCCACATCGGAAACAAGCACCAGATGTTTGGTAACACACGCCCCTATGCCTCCTTCCACAATCAGGGAAAACAGGAATAGACCCATTGCTCTGACTTGAGCTACTTGTAGACCCCGTGTTCTGCTTTTTACTTAGATAAGATCGACCCTTTCTGAAACCATAACCAAACCTTTTTCCTCTCCATTCTGTTGTTGTTGTTGGGGCCTTACTTTGTTTCATAGCGGCTAGAGTAGCTTCAACCATTAAGGATCTGTCAAGGACTTCCACATATGTTGGCAACTTCAATACGCTTACTCAATCAAATATGTCTAAATCCAATCCTCTTTCAAATTTGCGGGCTTTCTTGTAGCCCTGTGTCCGCCATATGAGGAGAAAATCTGGCTAACTCAGTGAACTTAGCCTCGTACTCAGCTACAGACATTCTGCCTTGCTTGAGTTCTTGGAATTCAGACACTTTTCGATCCCGAAAACACTGAGGGAAGTACTTGTCATAAAAGATTTCATTAAATCGAGCCCATGTCATGTTTCCATTGGTATTCTGAATCAGTAACCACCATCTCCGAGCTTCGTCTTTGAGAGTATAGGTGGACAATAAAACCTTTTGAGTCTCGGTACAGGGAAAAACTTCAAACAACTTCTCTATTTCAAGTAACCATGTCTCCGCTTTCAACGGTTCAATACCACCCAAGAAAGTTGGTGGTTTCATCATCATGAATTTCTGAGTTAGTTTGATGATGTCATTATTATTAGGTTCAACTTGTACCGGCAGAGGTGGAGGGGGCAAAGGTTATTGCCTCTGCTGTTGTGTCATTGCTTCAGTTAATACTGCAAGAATCTGTTCCATTCGGCTCATGCGAGCCTCTGAGGATTCACTTGTATTATTACTTCTTGCGTTCTCCATGATGCTATAGGGAACAAGGTAATAATAAATAGAGGAATAATCTTGTTCAGTTCTTTCAATTTCATATGTTCAAGTTCAGGTTCAGATTCAGTTTTCACAGTTATAGAAATTTCTTCACGCAGTCACACATGCAGATGATATGTCCCTACTTCTTTCTAGGACATCCTATAGCTTATATGGACTTGGGTGTGCGGTATAACTCATGCTCTGATACCACTCTGTCACGACCCAAACTTGTCCCTATAGGTTTAGCATCGTAATCGGCCAGTAATCCTTGGATTACTGAAGGCCTCTTAATAGTATAACATATAATTAGGGGCTGCAGAAGCAATATATAAACATACATAGTCCATTGAACTGTGCTGACATATATGAGACAAAATTTTCAAAACAAACTTATATATATATATATATATTCATGTGACGTCATAAATACAATAGTCTTACGTCACCCATTTACACAAATAAAGTCAAAAGGAAACTTAGCCCAAGTATAGATAAATAGAACAAAACCAAATAAAGCCTTGACATGGACCTCTCAAAAAGAACCTCCTCGGGAGGCACGGTGGTTGGCCAACAAAAGAGAATCTTAGGCTGTCAACTCTGGGCCTGATCACGTGCCTGATCACCTACATACATAATATAAATAGTGAACGGGAACCCAGTGAGTAATAACTTAGTAAAGCTATGTTTAACATTATTTACTTTCTGTATGATAAAATAAGATCTGTTTTCTGAATGCTATGTTCTGTACAATGAATGATTGTCCAATTTCTGACTATCTAATTTCTGACAATGTATTCGTGGCATCGTTAGCGTCATGTGATATCTGTTAGCTGTTACCCGGTATCGGAGGTTCCATTATGGAACTTATTATGTCTGCACTCTATTACCCGTACCGGAGACTC